TATATTTTCATCAAATCTTAGAAATGCAGAGTTAGCTGTTTCTTTTTATAGACAATGACCACTATAATCTAATTAGAAAAACCAACTCTTGGGTCAAACTTTATGTCAGAAAAAAGTCTCATTTGATTTTTTTATTTCTAAAAAATGTGTTAATATATACTCTCGTGACAGCCACTTCACTTCTTCTGAATGAACTTTCATGATAGAATACCAGATAGATTATATGGAAAATTTATTAAGAGTTTATTTTTTGGGTGAAATAAGGCACTGACCCCTGCAACATGTCTTATTTTGCTCTTACTAGACCCTCAATCAGATGCAAGACACTCACAAATTGTCCTTTTCCTTTAACAGTCCTCAAGGTTTTGCCATTGCTAGGATGGTTCTGTAATGTGATTCAAGATGGAAAATTTGCCTTCATTTTGTGAAGTGGGAGCAGACAGCTGATTGTAAAAAGAATTATTGGAAAGGAGAGCCAAGAGACTGCAGGTTTTTTTGAGGTAGGAAGTTGAATATCTGAAAAATAATTTCCTAAAAATTGTCTATGCCTGTGTATCTCCTAGAGAGACCGTGAGTATTCGCAGGGGTATATACGCCCCAGTTTGACTTTGAAGACTCTTGCTTGGGACAGCACGTAATCAGATACCTCTACTTTTAGGTGAGAAAATAAGGCTGAAAATCAATGAATCACCTGCATCAAAAATTGTGTGTCCCTTTACAGTCTGCAAAGCTAGTCCTTGTATTGGTTTCTTCTTGTAATCCTCCTTATTGGACTCTACCATATGCATATGGTTTGTTGTTTATGGACCCATTGTTTGCTTTGTTCAGAAATCAAGGGACCAGTATAATTAGAGACTGAGAATGTGGGCTCTCAAATCTAGGTTTAGAAAGTTTTCCTGTATATCATTCAAGGTGGAATAAGGTCTAGTATCATGTGATCCTCAGGGATATTAAAAGTATATGATGGCTCTATTGTTCACTCTGTCTCAACTCACACTGAGTAAATTGTCTACTTTGATTATCTTTTGTATATATAACTGTACTTAAATTTCTTTAAGTAAGGAATAAGCAATTTTTCCCTCTGATTATCTCATCAAATAGCTTAGCATAATGGTTTGCAGATAAAAGACACTTAATAAATATGGACTGATTTGATTTAGCAATCTTGATTTTAAAGTCATAGGTTGAAAAATAAGTGTCAACAGGGAAATCTTGCTCCAAGCTACTCAGTTAAAATGATGACTATAATTCATGTAAACAAAGCATGTGGTCAAAATTAAATCAGAGGTAGATACTACAAAGCAAAAGTAAACAATAAACTATGTTTGCATGCATTTCTCTCATTTATAAAATTCCTTTATTTGAAACTGAGTAGGGAATCCTGGGACCTCAAAGTAGTTGCATAAAACTGTGCAAATTCCTAAAGTCTTCTCTTCTACATTTCAACATCCATAAAATAAAAAAGTTCACCTGAATGACATGCAAGATTATTTCTCTTTGTATAGTGCATGGTTTTACACAGAAAAAGTCACTTCTGTGACTTTTTCTACAAAAGATCCACTCACCTCCATGTTTTGCTAAAACATGTTTTGATCTTTGTACAATTTCCCTTAATGACCTTTTCCTATAGCAATTAATACTTTTTAGCTTCTAATTTACAAAAGAGAAGTGATTATTTTCTGCCATTTCCATGTCTCTATGACTATCACTTATTCAGTCAATTAGTCGTTCAAAATAACAAAATTGAGTGACTACCATGTACCAGACACTGAAGGTACATCACTTACCAAGACAGACCTGGTTCCTGATGCTTATGAAGACATAGTCTATCCAGGGTAAATAAACAAATATGGAACAAATTGTGATAAATGTACACATAACTGAAGAAATAAGTGTCTTGGACGGCTTAAAAGATACCATGTTTTTTTTTGTTTTAAGTCAATACCATCTGTGACATACTCTCCTTATCCTTATTATTATTCTTAAATTTCCCGGGCACTTATACTATCTTCAGAGATTGAAACATTTATAATTTACTTCTTCAATTCATGACCTTCGCTCAGTGATATGTACATCAAAGACTATCTTGATCTGTGTTCCACTCAGTTTTCTGACAAACTAACACATAATATGCCTCAAGTACTCTTGGATTTATTCTAATTGTAATATTTCAATTATAAATTATTTCCTATTTGCCAAGTATTGTGCAAATAGGAATATTTATAGAGCTAACCAAGTTAAAATGAGGTCATTAAGTTGGGCCCTAATCCAATATATCTGGTGTCCTTAAAAAAGGGGGAAATTTGAATATAGCAACATGCAAGAAAGGAAGATGACATGAAGAAATGCAAGGAGAACATGGCCATCTATAAATCAAAGCATGCCTGAGACTACCAGAATCTAGGAGAGACGCATGGAACTGATTCTCTCCTAGTGCCTTCAGAGGGAGCATGGTCCTGCCAACATCTTGATCTTAGACTCCCAGCCTTCAGAACTGTATCAAAATAAATTTACGTTGTTCTAAGCCACCCAATTAGCAGTAATTTGTTATGACAGCCCTTGGAAACTATTACAAAGTAGTGTGCGGTAAAGAGTTATCCTTGCCCAAGGAGAGGTCTGTCCTTTGCCTTCAGTTCCTGGAAGGTGATCTCTAAACTCTTGAATATTCTACCTGATAAAAGTATCTTTGTCTATTTAGGGGCCTTAGGCAATGTCGGATAGTTTACGCCAGTAATTGATTTATCTTAGGACCTTTGGGCCCCACAGAATCAGCTCAACCTCTGGAAGTTCTGGAAACCAAAATCAGCTACACGAGCAGTCAACCATGTCTATGCAACTGAGCCCCAATAAAAACTCTGGACATCAAGACTCAGATGAGCTTCCCTGAGAGTATTGACAATACTCTGTGCGTATCGTCACACATCAGGACTGGGAGGTTAGTACTCTCTATGATTCCACTGAGAGAGGACAACAGGGAGCTTCACACTTGGAACTCTTCCGGGCTCTGCCACATGTGCCTCTTCCCTTAGCTGATGTAAATTTGTATCCTTTTGCTGTAAAAAACCATAAATGTGTGTATAACAGCTTTCAGTGAGTTTTGTTAGTCCTTCTAGTGAACTGTTGAACCTGAAGGTGGTCTTGGGAACCCCCAAACTTACAATAGTTTCAGAAGTGAGGGTAGTCTTGGAGATTTCCTGAAATCTACAGGTAGACATTATATTATATCGGCCTCTCTGTAAGACTGAGTGAAGAAAAATGCTAGAGGATATTTTCATTGGATTAAATCAAATTATTATTATAATTATAATAGTAATGACAAATTATAATTACCAAATTAGGCCAGCAAATTATGGACTACAGGCTAAATAAGACCTTCTGAGTGTTTTTGTAAATAAAATTTTATTGACCAAATCACACCCATTTATTTACATATTGACTAGGCTGCTTTTGCTCTACAATAACAGAGTAGTAATGACAGATGACTTACCGCTCTCAAAGCCTAAAATATACATTGTCTGACTCCTTATATATAAAAGCTTGCTGGCCATGGCAATAAAACATGGTATTCTGCATGGTTGTGTCCAGATCTATGAAGGACCTGACACATTGGGACAGAAATTCAGGACAGCATCCCTTAGTACCACAACTGGTTTTCTGATGTCGTTATCATTTGCAGTAGTACCTACCCTTATATTTATTTGTTAATCCTATGTGCCTTGGTCGACAGAAAATACTTAATAAATATTACATTGATTTCAAGAAAATCTTATTAGGCTTACTTTTACCTACAGAATAAAGTTCAAAATTATTTCCGTGTCATACAAAGCTCTCTATATAATTTGGGCCCAAACTTCCTTTCCAATATCATTTACAGCTACTTTCATTCAGATATCCTCTGATTCCATCACATGGAACATGGCACGAACTTTCAAGACAATTTCTGTCCCTTTGTCCATATTGATCCCTTATCCTAGAATTTCCTTTTCCTCTTCTCTTTCTAATTATAACTCATCTTTCAAGGCTGAGCTGAAATGCCCTTCTTCTTGAATTTTTTACATCTCCTCAGTGTGAATAATTCACTGCTTGCTTCAAACTTTTACAACTTTTATTTGTCAACAAAACTCACAACAGTATTTTTTTAATAGTATTATAGATGCTTAAAATGCATGATGAATGAATGAATAACACTCAGGGAAGATTTCCTGAAAGATATGCAGTAACTATTTATCTAAGTCTCATATCCTATGACTTAACAAATTTAATGGACGATTAAAATTTATTCCTTTCAGCTCAGAATCCCAGTCATTTGTGTTACCTCTCCTCTAATACGAACGCTCCATGATTGTTGTGACCCTGTCTTATTTTTTTATATGTCACAAGACATATCAGAGTACTTGATAATATTGTAGTTGCTTAAATTCATGATGAATAAATGAGTAATAGTCATGATTATCTTAGTGTACTTATATCATGACCACTATTGTTTGTGATGAAACCATTGGCTATCATCCTTTATCCCAATGCATCAATCTTCATTTTCTCACTATTTCCTTTAGACCAATTTCACCATAAAATGTCTGATGCTATTGTTATTTTGCCTATGTTGTAGCACACCTAGCAGAGAGACAGAGTTGGTTCTTTTATGACCAACCAGTCTTCTTTAACTAGAAGGAGGTGACAAAATTATAGGCAGTGGGTAGATCATATTTATTTGGTATTTGTAATAGCTAGGGCTTTAAATTGTTTGGCACTTCATTCTTCTTTTATTAATTCTAAGTCCTAATTTCTAATGCAGCAGGAACAAACTTCCCACTAGCCTAAAACCGCCCACCTCTTCCCCATCACCCCATCATACATACATACATACACGCTTACAAGACTGATCACCTATTGTTGAAAATATTTAGGTTAAATAAATTAATTTCCTCATCTGATTATTATTCCAAGCTATTAGTCTTTAAGAGTCAAGTATATAAATAAAGTTAATGTGATAATTTTACAAATTAGAAAACTTACCCAGGTAAGTTTCCCTGTGGGGAAGCAGACAAAGGACAAATCCTATGTATGCTTGTTTCTCTATATTATGCAAGCTTTCTTGAGGAGACAAGGGCTAATAAATTTTCTATTAAATTTCAGAAATAGGTCTGATAATGTTATGAAGCAATAGTGGTAGATGGTAGAGTATATACACCTGATCCTGTTTTAAAAATTCTGCTAGACGTGCTTTCAATACAAGACAGTATCTCGTTATGCACCATAAAATGAAAAGAGAACTGAAGAAATTCAGACAAGCATAAGGTTACTCCCATATTGCTGATAAAATAAGAATTTGATAAAGAAACGAATCAATATTTTGCAATAAGGTTGATACAGCCAAGTAGCTACAATTCTCTGCTCTGTTTTTCTCCTACAAAAGTCTGGTAGGGAGGTGCAACACCACCTATTATAAGTCAAACCAAGGCCATCTTAAGGTTATCCTCCTTCACTGAACCACTGGGCTAATGGATTTGAATGAATTTATTTATTCAATAAAATTTATTATATACTCATTTTTTACTGCACATAAGTTTCTGTCACTTAAAGGAATATAAAATAAAATATGGAACTTACATTGTCATGGCAGAAAGGACAAACCTCCCATTAGTTCTAATTGCAGTTCTTCCGCAGAAACTAGAACTTGCCACAGTAACACACACATAAAAGGTACTAAAAATGTCTCTTTAATAAACAAATAACATCATCATTGCAATGCATAACAAAGTGAATAAATGTAATTAAAGAAATAAAAACATTGCAATCTGGAAATGAAGACAGAAACGTTAATTGTGATTTTTAGAAGACAGTGCCAAAGAAACTTTCTAGAAGAGATGGCTCTTGATTTGAACCATAAAAGATGGACAAGTTGATTTTGAAAAGGTAGAAAAGAACATACCATTCCCTATAATTTGAAAGGAACCAATGTCTGTAATTTTAAATAAGCCTATAGCTGAAACAGCATATTTGAAGAGTAGTGTGTATTGTGGTTAACAACCTGACCAATTAAAATCCTGCCACATTTATTTACTTAATAGTTTGTAAATTTGAACAGGCTGTTTAACTCCTACCTCTAGGCCTCAGTTTCCTCATCTATAAAATGTGGATAATCATGGTATCTGCCCCATTGTATTTTTCCAGGGTTAAGGTAGTTAATACAAGAAAAGCATTTATAGTAGGTTCTAGCTCGTGGCTAGTGCTCAGTACATTGAAGCTCTTGCTAAGAAAACTTCTTGCCGTGAATCACCTACATGGCACAATTACATACTGAGAATCTATAGAACAAGTGCTATCATTCACGTACTCTTGGAATGTCCCTGCTGTTACACAGCATGCTTTTTCAAAACAAAAAAACAAAAACAAAAATCCCTGATATTTCAAAGTTAATCCCTGAGAGCAAGCAGAGGATGCTAATATAATTTCCGTTCTTGCACCAGCTGTCTAAGTGTTGTACCGTCTCATGTGCTGTACTCATTCTAGATACTATCTCATTTCCCTTAGAACGACCTATATAAAGGTACATTTTCCCATGTTCTCTACTGATAAAACATGATAATGACTCTGTTTTCCCAAAGTAAAAATTTCAAACTCCTCAACATATGCTCAGTGTTCCTGTCCCAGCTCACCTCTCTAGCTTAATCTTCTCTGCTTCTCTGACATACTATTATCTAACAATATCCAACTAATAGCTATTTTTGTCTCTTCTAACCTGGACTGTTTGCTCCACCTGAAAACTCTGGCCCACTTTGCCTACCTGAAAAAAATAATTATCTTTCAAAACTGTGCCAAAGCATTGCTATTTTTTGAAACCTTCTTTGTCCCTTTTCTGTTCCATTCCCATGTAGAGTTAACACTTCCCTACACTTTTATGTACTTGTATCATGGCGTATCAGCTTCCTTTTCAAATTTTGTTTCCTTGATCTATCTTTGCCACAATGACCTGAGCTCCTGTGCTCAGCCAAGTCTGGGTAAAATTAAGTGTCCAATAAGTATTGGTTCATCAAATTGGTCAATGTTTTAAAGAATAGTAAAGAATAATGTCACAGTATAGTGTTTTTTAGGTGAAATACGTTGGCTATGACTATAATTTAGATATAGGTAGAAGATATTTTAGAAATTTAATCACAGATCGTAAAGTTAGCAAAGGAATGCCTTGAATGCCTTTAAGACAGAGGATGACATTGAATTAGCCCTTCTGTGTAGTGGAATTGTTAAAGTGAATTTAGATCCAGTGAGCAATTAGAAGCTGAAAATGTTTAATGGTTTACAGAAGCATAACCTTGACCAATAGCTCGGGAGATGACTGCAGTGAGCTCCAGCAGTGAAGGACTTAGGTTTTATTCCAGTGATAGCCACAGAGCTCCTCCTTGCCCAGTGCAGTGGAAGAGGCTATCACCCACCAGAAGGGGCTAGCATCCCTGGCCATGTACATTATCGGAGGAGAGCTTATGAGTGGATCAGGAAAAATACATCATCAATTGCATAAAAAATAAAAATAGAAAAACCTGTTCTTGTTGGTTCAGCTTTCTCAACTGCATTCCCTAAGAACAATGACTTTGTAAGGATTTGAATGCTAAGTCCACATCAGAGAAGTGTTCTTTGCAGTTGGCATTGTATATCAGAAACTGGTTTTAAAAGGCCTGTGAAACTAGAGAAAAACTTGCAAATGAAAAATTAACTTGCAATAGTATTTCTTCTGCACAGTGTTATGGGAAAAACAACAGAGTGATCGCCAATGGTGCTTGCTTTCAAATTTTCTTGATAAACATGAATAAGCTGTAGCTCCTTTTCATACATTTATGCCTATTAAAGATGCTTGGGAGATTTTAACAAGTTTTGAATAATCATGAAAATATGTGAATTAAAAATGAAAAGAAAAATATTCTTTAGTAGAAAAATGCTACTACTCAGAAGCCTCAAAAACAAGTCACACCGTTGTTAAAATGCTAATATCAAAATTCTGCCTCTAACTTCAGAGGTAAAGCTACTTCAGTAAGGTGCTAAGTGGGCTGCAGAGTCCACTCCTGGAAAGTCAGGAGGCAAATCTGTTATAATGTTGTTCATCAGAAAACACTCCAGCATGTGTTAATTCCATAATAGAAGTCTGAACAATTCACTAGGAAATGAAAATAGACATAAAGGTACATCAGAGATTTTCATATTTTTTCAACTTCCAACATTGTAATGAATACCTAAAGTAAGGCAGCAAATAAACCAGCTCAAATTTTGAAGACAGTTGTTCGTAGATTTCCTTTGAATAGTCAATTGGTATATACATGTATGGATGCATTTTTCAATTTAATGCTTGAGAAATTCTTGGCCATCACTGATGATATGAGTAAGGCACTTCTTAAAAACCTTAAGCCTGTAATATTTAATCTTATAATTCAGAATGAAAAAAAATCATGACATTGCTGTCCAAGATAAACAGAGGTATGAGGGACAAATCGTTATTCACTCAGCTAATAATTACTCACTATGTTAGTTAAGTTATGGTAAACAAATATGACTAGTATATAAACCATTTTTACTGAAAATCTTTGCATAGTACCTATCATATTCCCCACAGTATGAAAGAGGAGGAATATGTGTTGCAGTTAATTTAAGTATGGGAAACACTGGATTGAACCAAATTTGTGGAAGAACTTCTCAGAACGCTAATATGTTAATGATTACTGTGAGTCTTCAGGGAGAGATATATCATGCAACAATTTGACTTATTTATTTTGTCAATAAGAATCTCCCAAGACTAATATTCTAAAAATGATGAGATGAAGAATACATATTTGGAAGTTCAGACACACTGAGCCTGCTGCATTCCTTTCGTCCAACAACAGGTAGAGCCATCCATTGTAAAAACAAATAGCAACTTCATAATGCAAGTCTCTCTCACCTCTCCATTTATTTTTTCTTTATTTTTAACAATTCAATTCAACCATTTATTGAATGTTAACTGCTAGGCATTACGCTAACCCTTAGTGGGAAATAAAGAAAAATTAATAAGATGTTTCTTTTCTCCAAGAATGCCCTATCAATACAATGGCTAAGATTCATAGATAAATACATCTTTCTATGTGCAATACTAATATAATAAAGATAAATTAAACCTAAAATCACATACCTAGTGTCCTCCAGTACCCAAAGGGACTAAATAATGCCCATAATTATAACTGAAATCATTTATAGAAGTCAAGCTTCTGAAGAAATATCTCTTCCAGTAATGATCTTTAAACACATAATTAAACTTTTCATTATTTAGATTCCATATGAGATATATTATACTAATTAGACTGCCTATGAAAAAAAGAAGCTATAAAATATGTGGCCTTGAGAGTTAGTGCAGCATGGTGTAAAGAACAGCACTTCTTGTCATACTGAACTGGGGTTTGAATTTTAACAGTGGGACTTTGGATAAATTATCTCTTCATCTTCAAATTGGGATGATTAATAGCATCTATCCCCTAACAGTGCTGAGGACATCAATTACAATTGCTGGTATATAAATATGCTTAATAACTACTAGCAATTGTTTATCTTCTTGACTTAATAAAATAATAAATTTATTTTGTATCCATTATATAATGTTAATAATATAACTTACTTATATTGTGAATATTTTATTACAATTTACTCTTTCCTGAAAGGTTGACAAAAATCATGTTAAATGTCATCTGAAAATTACATTAGTGTGTACCATCATGTTTAATATAAAAATCAATTATATCAGGGCAGGAAGATCTCTCAACTTCCTAATTTTATAGATACTTATAAATAAATTTATAAAAATGCTTGATTTTGTTTAAGGGAGATCTGTTTATGAAATGTCTACAAAATAAATGCTATTGTCAATATAAATGTCATTCAGAGTCCATGTATTGAAAAATAATTACAAAATTTGAAACATTATTTTACACTTGACTGGTTCCTCTAGGCCATTCTATATAAATTTTAGCCTGAATGTGGGATATATTACCATTTCTGATTACTGGTTTTTTTTCAAGTTACTTGGGACACCAGTAATGTAAATTTTCATTAAATGTATACGAATAAGGCATGGCTCTCCAATTACAACTATTGATAATCAGTTTTTGTTGCACTCCCGGTACATATCAAATGTTCCATGGAGTGCCTGAGAGTGTCCTAGCAATCATTTTCACATGTTGTTTCCTTGTTTGTTAAAGGGCCAAACAGGCAGAGAATAAATTATACAAGGCCATAGGGAAACTTATTTTCTTAATCACTGTGCCATATCAAATTGGATATTTCATGAGAAAAAATATAATTATATTTAATGCAGAAAATTTCCTGATGTTATATATGCCTACTTTCTATACTGCCTAATTGATGGTTCCGAGGAAATAATTCTATCACAGCTTCATTAGTATTGCCATCATCCCAAGGCAATTAACAACACATGAAACAATTATGGAAATGCAATTAAGCTACTAATTTAATAATCCAGTACCGAGGGCTCTGTTTTTCATTCTCTTGATCATGGGACAGTGTCGAAATAGATATGACCACACTTAAGCAGATTGTTGTTGTTGTTGTTGTTTTCAATCATTCTAACCAATCGTTTTCCGATGAGGTATTGAATTACAACTTCAAACTTGTTCAATAACTTGTTAATATTACACCTTGATTTTTTATTTTAAAATTAAAAAGAATTAGTTATTAAAAAGTCTTTGTTGTAATTTCTTGATGTCTGAAAGTAGTGAAGTAGTCATTGTCGTTGTGCATAAAGGGAAATAGAAGTAATAAGAAACTGTCTATTGCAATAGCCTACCAGTTTTACACGTATATATCCAGCTATTAATTAAGTTATATATTTACTATCTTTTTCTCCAATAAGAATAGGGTTTTTCTGTTACACAAATAAGTAGATTTATTGGAGAGTTTTTAAAATATGTGAAAATATACTGAAGAAAGTAGAAGGCTCCTAAAACTCCACTTCATAATATAAACAACAGAAGTTTTCCCTTGACTGTACTTCATATATCTCATTATGCACCCATACATACACAACTTTACTCCGATGAATTCAGATTGTGCAGTTTTCCTTCCTTCCTCCCCATTCACACATCCATCAGTTTTAACAGTCTTAACAACCAGTATATCCGATACATTGTATTCCTTCAATGTATCCAATAGCATTCATCACACTCATATAATCATATATAAATATATTTGCATATACAAATACAAAACTGAAGAATTGTTATTGCTTAAGAAAAAATTAATAATATTACATATTTTATTCTAATCTTATATTTTGCAACTGCCCCAAGTCAAGTTACAGTTCACAGCTGCCTGCCAGTTTATATTGTAATATATCCACAGGTGATTCAACCATTTTTGTATTGGTGAACTTCTTCTTTCCTTTTCTTTTTCTTTCAAATGGTTTTTAAAATAATATTTGTTTAATGCCTTAGATTGTGGTATTATTTGCTATGCAATAATTAAATAAATGAAGAAGATACAATTGGCTATCTAGAATAAAATAAAATTTGATCCCATAACCCCAAATAAATTCCATATTGATTTAAAACTGTAAGTGTAAAATTATATATATATAATTTTAAGTGTAAATATATATATAAATATATATATAACAGAGGATTAGAGAGACTTTTAAAAATATTTTTAAAAAGACCTTGAAACTATGCAAAGAGACATAAATTACTATGTAAAAATAGTCACATATTTTTTATTATAAAAAATATCATCTCTGTTATTAAATTAAACTTTGTTATTATTGTGACTAGTGTTGGTAAAGCGTGTGTGTGTGAGTCTTTGTGCTTTGCTAAGAGGGTAATATATAGCTATAAATGTTACATTAAAACAAAGAAAGAACTTGGAGCTAACCCCGTGGCGTAGCGGTTAAGTTTGGCATGCTCTGCTTCAACAGCCCGGGTTTGTGGGTTCAGATCTCAGGTGTGGACTTACACCACTCACCAGCCATGCTGTGGCAGTGACCCACATGTACAATAGAAGAAGATTGGCACAGATGTTTGCTCAGGGCTAATCTTCCTCAAGCAAAAAAAGAGGAAAGTTCAGGGTGAAACTCCCTCAGCAAAAAAAAGAACGCCAAATCAGTAACCTAACCTAACAACTTAAGGAACTAGAGAAAGAAGAACAAACTAAACCCAAAGCTAGCAGATAGAAGAAAATAATAAAGATTAGAGCATATATAAAGAAAATAGAGAATAAAGAAAATTAACAAAACCAAAAGTTGGATCTTCAAAAATAACATCAAAATTAACAAACCTTTAGCTAGTTGGACTAAGAAAACAAGAGAGAAGACTCAAATTACTAAAATCAGAAATGAAAGTGGAGACAGTACTACTGATTTCACAGAAATAAAAGGATTATAAAAGGGTGCTATGAAAAATTGTATACCAAGAAATTGGATAACCTAGAGGAAATGGACAAATTCCTAGAAATGCAAAACCTACTAGGATTGAGTCATGAAGAAACAGAAAATTTGAATAAATCTATAACTAGTAAGGAGATTTTATCGGTAATCAAAAATCTCCTGACAATTAAAAGCTCTGGATCTGATAGCTTCACTGGTGAATTCTACCCAACATTTAAAGAACTAACATTAATTCTTCTCAAATTTTTCCAAAAAATTAAAGAGGGAATTCTTCCAAACTCATTCTATGAGGTTGGCATATCCTGATACCAAAGCCAGAAAGAGACACCACAAAAAAAAAGAAACTACAGACCAATATCTTTTATGAATGTTGAAGAAAAATCCTCAAGAAAATACTAGCATATTGAATTCAAAAGCATATTAAAAGGACTATACACCACAAAAAAGTGGGATTTATCTCTGGGGTGTAAGGATGGCTCAACACATGCAAATCAATGTGTGAAAAACCACATTAACAAAATGAAGGATAAAAATCAGATGATCATCTCAATAGATGCAGAAAAAGCATTTGACAAAATACAACATCCTTTCATGATAAAAACCCTCAACAGATTGGGACCGGCCCGGTGGCGCAAGTGGTTAAGAGCGCGCGCTCCGCTGCAGCAGCCCGGGTTTGCCGGTTCGGATCCTGGGCTCGCACGGACGCACTGCTTGTTGAGCCATGCCATGGCGGCGTCCCATATAAAGTAGAGGAAGGTGGGCACGGATGTTAGCTCAGGGCCAGTCTTCCTCAGCAAAAAGAGGAGGATTGGCATCAGATGTTAGCTCAAGGCTGACCTTCCTTTCCCCCCCCAAAAAAACCGTCAACAGATTGAGTATAGAAGGAACATACTTTAGCATAATAAAGGCCATATGTGACAAACCCGGAGCTAACATCATATTCAAGAGTAAAAATTTGAAAATGTTTCCTCTAAGATCAGGAACAAGACAAGAATGTCCACACTCATCACTCTCATTCAATATAATACTGGAAGTACTAGCTAGAGCAATTAGGCAAGAAACAAAAGGCATCCAAATTGGTAAGGAAGACATAAAATTGTCATTATTTGCAGATGATATGATTTTATATATAGAAAATCCCAAAGACTCAACCAAAAAACTGTTGGAGCTAATCAACAAATTCAATAATGTTGCAGGATAGAAAATCAATATACAGAAATCAGTTGCATTTCTATACACTAACAATAAAACATCTGAAAAAGAAATAAAACTAGCCCATTCACAATAGCATCAAAAACAATAAAATATTTAAGAAAATATTTAACCAAGAAAGTGAAAGATCTGTACAACAAAACTATAAGACTTTGTTGGAAGCAATTCAAGAAGACACAAACAAATGGAAAGATACCTCATGTTCATGAACAGGAAGAATTAGTGTTGTTAAAATGTCCATACTACCAAAAGCCATCTATACTTTCAATGCAATCTCTATCAAAAAATTCCTATGGCATTTTTCACAGAAATAGAAAAAACAATCCTAAAATTTGTATGGAAACACAAAAGACCCTGAATAGCCAAAAAAATCATGAGAAAGAAGAACAAACCCAGAGGCATCACACTTTCTGATTATACTACAAAGCTATTAATAGTTATTAATACAGTAAGGTACTGGCACAAAAATAGACACATAGACCAGTGAAACAGAATAGACGGCACAGAATTAATCTCCCACATATATGGTCAACTAATATTTGACAAGGGAACCAAGAACACCCAATGGGGAAAGCATAGTCTCTTCAACAAACGGTGTTGGGAAAACTGAATGACCACATGCAGCAAGATAAAATTGGACCTCTATCTTACAACGCTTACATAAATTAAGTGGAAATGGATCAAAGACTTAAACATAAGACATGATAATGTAAAACTCCTAGAAGAAAACAGGGAGGAAGCTCCTCAACATTGGTCTTAGCAATGATTTTTTAGATAGGACACCAAAAGCAAATAAACAAAAGCAAAAATCAAGAAGTGGGACTATACCAACCTACAGCTTCTGTACAGCAAAAGAAATAATCAACATAATTAAAGGCAACCTACAGCATGGGAGAAAATGTTTGCAAACTATATATATGATAAGGGATTAATATCTAAAACATATAAAGAACTCATGCAACTTAATAACAAAAAAACCAAACAATCCAATTAAAAAATGGGCAGAGGAACTAAATAGATACTTTTCCAAAGAAGACATTCAAATGGCCAACAGGTACATGAAAAGATGTTCAACATTGCTAAAGGAAATACAAATCAAAACCACAATGAGATATTACCTCACACTTGTTAGAATGGCTATTATTAAGAAGACAAGAGATAACAAATTCTGTCAAGGATGGAGAGAAAAGGAGATCTTTGTACCTTGTTGGTGGGACTGTAAATTGATGAAATCACTATGGAAAACAGTATGGAGGTTCCTCAAAAAATTAAAAATAGAATTATCATGTGATCCAGCAATACTACTTCTGGGTATATATCCAAAGAAAATGAGAACAGGATATCAAAGAGATATATGCACTCTCATATTTATTGCAGCGTTATTCATAATAGCCAAGATATGGAAACAACTTAAGTGTCTGTCGACAGATGAATGGACAAAGAAGATGTCACACACACACACACATACACACACACACACTGGAATACTATTTAGCCATGAGAAAGAAGGAAATCCTGCCATTTATGACAACATGGATAGAATTTGAGGACATTATGCTAAGTGAGATTAGTCAGAGACAGAGAAAGATAACTACTGCATGATATCACTTACATCACTTACAAAAAGCTGAACTCATAAAAACAGAGTAGAATGGTGGTTACCAGAGGCTAGGGGATGAGGGAATATGAGCAACGTTGTTGTAGGGACAAACGTGCGCAATGTTATATATCAAATATATTTCAATTAAAAAAACTCCTGAATTAGAAAGAAAACCTCATCAAACTGAACATTTAAAATGTATGCATTTGTTTTATGCAAATTATCCCTCAATAAAATTGGTAAAATTGTTGGATGTGGGAGAAGCAGTCAAAAGAATAAGAAAGTAAAGTAAAGGGAAAATAATGTCACTCCATGAGAAGTACCTTTGATGACATCAAGTATAGCCTGGTCTTCTCTTCATTCTGTCTTAAATTAATATAGATTTCCCATTCCTTTAAATTTCCTCCTCCACATATCTTATATTCTTATATATTTTAATTCAGGGCTATATAAGATAGGGTTATTAGATAGCCAGACTGGAGGAGCTTGACACTTATCTCTGGAGATGCACTGGAAGTGATGTACTGACCCTTAAGCAAGATAAGAATGACATGTGATTCATAATATGCTGTATAAAGCTTGATGACAGCTTGTTCTACGTTGTTTGGGAATGTTCAATTTGATGGTTTGCACAACTTGGCTTGAGTTATGTAACCAGCTGTGTATGAACTACCCTGCTCTAAGTATCCACCTGGGCTTCCCTGAAATCACCATATCTGGCTCAAATCTTGCGAGTTTGTAACCTGAAGATGAAGTCCTACAAAGTCTTGTGAGACTGAAAAGGGATCCTGGGGGAGAGGCAGTGCTGTGCCTGAAAGAGTTGGACCCTAAATGATCTCTTGTATGTTGTCCTGTTGCACTATGCATTTTACCTTTATTTAACACTAATGAGACTTAACTCTATGGATCCTTCTGAGTCTTTTCAATTTTTCTACTCTTTGTAATCAGTGCAAGGATTCTTAAGTCATTGCCATAATTTTAAATAATACAATTTATTGGGGCCGACCCTGTGGTGTAGTGGTTAAGTTTGGTGAGCTCTGCTTCAGCAGCCCGGGTTCACAGGTTTGGATCCTGGGCGTGGACCTACTCTGCTCATCAACCATGCTGTGGAGGTGCTCCACATACAAAATCGAGGAAGACTGGCACAGATGTTAGCTCAGGGCGAATCTTCCTCAGCCAAAAAAAAAAAAAATACAATTTATTATTTTTAATTATAGTATTCAGTTGTTACACTGAGGTTAGGCCTCAAAATAGTGAAACGCTTTTTTTGAACCATACTACATTTAGTTTTCCCATGTCCTTCCTCCTCATCCACCACCCCAGATATCTACCAAGAATAAAGGCAATCTTAAAAAGGTAACATCTCCAGGAGGGATGTTTTTACCACTTGTAAAAGCCAGGGAGAAATAATAAAAAAGGATCTGTGATTAAAATGGCATCATTTGGGGTTGACCTCTGGTGCTCCAAATATAAGTCTAGCTTCAGAGCAATACATTTGAAAGGATAAGGGAGATACTTTTGTGATCATTCAATTCTACTTAAGTATATTGTTTGATTAGTGATTAGTACTCTTATTTACACCTTGATTCCAGTTCAGAGTTCAGAAGCCTAATGCGAACTAACTAAGCAAAAAGGGAAGGTTTTACCAGTACAGAAAATCAAACAGCAGAAGAGACATTTGTAGGTTTGACCTCAGGAAAGACCTCAGGAAAGTACTCTAGGGCAGTCAATAGCATCTGTAACTCTTATCTCTTCCACTCTCTAAGCATCAGTTTCATTCTCATTCCAGTTGATTTCATGTGGCACTCACAGATATGGATTCATTCTTCTCATCTTTACCATCAGAAATAAAACACTCTCCAACTCCTTTGAAAAAATCTCAGAGATGCACTTTAATTGGCTATCCTCAGATCATGGATATATTACTTGGATCAAAAATTACTGCACATGGAAGCAGATACTATAATCTTCTCTGATATTGGAATCTCAAGGTTGGAGTGAGAAAAGAGTAGCTCCCCAGTGAGGGCATATCAAAGACATGATGTTTCCATGTGCATACTTTTGAGAATTAAGCAGTCATCCCTTCACATCAACTACATATCTGCTCTCCTTTCCTTTGAAAAGAAAAAAATTTTATGCATATACAGAATTATACAGTAATATATGTACGGCTTTTCACTGAAATTTTAACGAAAGTATTTCATTTAAATGAATAGGTACTGCTACTTTATAGGAAATATCGGTGCTGAATGATCCTGACCATTCTAAAGACGTAAATAAAATAAAAGAATATCACACTTTAAAAACTGTGAAATGACTATCTAGCATATTTATAAGTAAACACTCATAGTAAACTTTTTTAACATCTAAAATATGCAAAAAAGCCAGTAATTTTCCTTTAATTAATATCTTATTCTAATATGCAGAATAAATATAAGAGAATAGCTCAAAATGACATTATGCCAGCACATAGACATAGTTCCAGTGAAAATTCACTCCTAAATAAAGAGGACTTATAGGCAAAATCATAATTGAAAATAATAGTTGATTATCTTACATGCAAATATTGTCTGATCAGGGACATCCAAATCACCTTACAGCCAAATATTTTACAATTAGTCTTTGATATATTCTGTGAACTACACTAATGTCATGCCTTCAGAAATATAAAAAAAAACGAAGCCAGGACTGCAGATAACCGTTCATACCTTTCCCTAAGTTAGGTACAATGGTTACCGCATTTTCAAACTTATCAAGGCCATGCAGACTTTGGACCTTAAGGATAACATCCAATTTTATAACAATCCGTTAAACTATAAGCCATTCTAATGACACAAATGTCCACCATAGTAATTAGCAGCTTGAGCGATGGTGCTATGAATACAAAGAAACACTGCATACCTAAAATAAAACATTTATATGACATGAGACAAGTGCGATGAAAAGAGGCAAACTGTGAATGAAAATTTAGGGTTTTTTTTAAATTTGGTTTTACTGTGTGTACCCGTATTTGTGAATACCATTTAATTATAAATGTGATCATGACAGAAAATAAAATAATAAGATTGAAACTGTTGACTTTTTATATTTAATGCTTGTTGACATAAGTAAGCCTTTCACTGATGATCTATTACTCTAAAATCTTAGAAGCTAGGATAATGCTTTGCAAAACAGGAGCTGTGAATACCTGACTACCAAGAAACGCAAAGAATCATTTCTTCAGTTATTTTACCACTAGTAGATCCTGAGTCTAAGCATTCCTGCTCAGATACCTGAGCATCAATTCAGTTTTTGTTAGGGGAAACTGACATTAACAAACACAGGGATTTATATTTAAACCTGTTTAACAAGGATAACTGTCACAGAAATTGAAATATTCACTTGAAATTGAAAAAATATTCTCTCTATACATGCATACTTCAGAAATATTGAGGGTTCCATTCCAGATCACTGCAATAAAGCAAATTTAGTATAAAGCAAATCACACAAATTTTTTGGTTTCCCAGTACATATAAAAGTTATGTTTACACTATACTGTTGTCTGTTAAGTGTGCAATAGCATTATGTCTAAAAAGAATGCACATACCTTAATTAAAAAATACTTTATTGCTAAAAAATGCTTACCATCATCTGAGGCTTCAGTGAGTCATAATCTTTTTGCTGGTGGAGAGTATTGTATAAAAATGCAACAACTGCAAAGTGCCATAAAGTGAAGTGCAATAAAACAAGGTATGCCTGTATAGACAAAGCTACATGAGAACTCAAATTCTTACCAGAAAATTATTTGATGAATATGAAATCAATGAAAGGAAGTTTAGGAGGAATGATGTCAGCAAGATGATATTATATGAGTGTCCAGCACTTATACCCTGACAGAAATACCAATTTTAACAACAACCCACAGAAGAGAACACCTTTATAGGAGTCTAGAAGTCTAGCTGAGAGGTTCCATTACTCTAGTGTAGGAAAAATCCGAGAATAGATACATTGAAGAGAGGAAAAGAACAATTTCATTTTACCTGCATCATGCCTTTCTCCAGGTAGCGTAGGTCAATGCCAAAAGAGACCCCTTGGCCCATGACTTCTCCCATGGAGGAAAGAGAGAGTCAGACTCAATCATGGAGAAGAATAATCAGCAAACTCAAAGAGAGGTCGTTTAAAATTATTCAGTCAAAAGAACAAAAAGAAAAAAATAATGAAAAAGGGTAAAGAAAGCCTGCAATGATTATGGAATACCATTAAGGAAATCAATATATGAATTACGGGAATTCCAGAAGGAGCAGAGAAAAGGAAAGGACTAGAAAGCTTATTTAAAGAAAAAATAACAGAA